TTGCAAACCACTAGTTAGAGAAGATTCCTGTGTAGAGAGTTGAGCAATACAACAGCTAAATGAACTCTTCAAATGTATTGTTTGCACCTGACATATACTAGGGATACCTAGCCAGTTCCCAACAAACTGAAATTTTGAAACACGTTCAAATATTTACCCTACAAATCAAGTGTTAATATGAATTTCAAGTCCTCAACTGCCATTTGCCAAGTTTCTTAAAATGGAATAAAAACTCTGAGCGCAGGAAAGCTGATACAGATAACTATCAACAGAGAAAATAATATTGGTTCGTATCAGAGCTGTTTTAAAACAATAAATATCCTGTGATTCTTGATTTTATACGAAAGCAAAGAAGGAAATTTATGTTTGTAAATATGTTTTAATCCCCTTGTTGTTTTTATAAACAATTCAAGGCTGGAAACACACCTAATAATCTTTCTTCCTCCTATTTTCCCTGACCTGTGCAGTGGGTTGAGTGACTGAGAAAGAATGAGACTGGCCGAAAGTCAGCCAGCTGCTTTCATGCCTAAGGCAGGACTAAAAACTTACATTCTCCCAATTTCTAGTCTCTTGCCGTAACCAATCAATCAAATTGGTTCTCTTTCAATATCTTTTATATCTTGATATTTTTATGTTTTAAGCCTGCAAATACAAACAGGGCCAAGGCAGGAAGTTCCAATGCTTTAAAGTGGCAAGCTTTATCCCTCGTTGTCTGCTAGTAGAATAGAAAAATCAACCAATTTGTTCAGATTAGTTTAATTTCCACTTTATTCTAGCTTTAGAACTTGAGGCATCATTGTAATGCTGCCCAAATGTAACCACCTATTAAAAAAAGGTGTATCTTGTGTAGTGGCAGACACAAAACAAAACAGTGTTTTATTTTAAATGTGAAATAAATATATTGTGGCCCAGACATCTGGCTAAACTGAAACATGGCACAAAGTGGCTATTTGGGATTTCTACCAAGAAAAAAAAATATGTTGGTGTGATTATAGTGTATGTTTGGATGCCTTAGAGGGATAACAGGGTGTGGCAAGTTTATCTAAGCTCAGTTTGCCTTCTGCCACTTTGATGTGTGTTTGTGTGTTGAAAAAAAATCAAGATTATCATAATAATGTGATCAAAGTTCCATCACTGTTCTATCTGCCTGGCAATCGAGTCACACACTGTTGTGGCCTGCCAGCACATCGGACAATGAGGAGGTTGGGGAGGAACCTGGGCCAGCTTTGAAGTCTGGGGAATGCTCTGATGGATGCTCCGAGTCGGATGGAGAGATAGAGCCAGGGCTGTCCAACATTTCCCAGCCACCAGAGAGGCAGCTGCCTTTGGAGGCTGAGATAAGTCAGGAGGAAGATCAGCTGGGCCCTGTTCCAGATGTGCATATGCACAGAGCTGTTAGGAGAGGAGAACAACCGAGGACAAGGAGTCGACTCGGGAAGCAAAGCACATGTGGACGCTGAATGCCCCCTCCCTGGTTGGGGAATAAATAGAAGGAAAGGGGAATGGTGGTCGTAGGAGACAACAGTTCAGATTTCTGAAGATTTGGCTCATCATGTTTTGTGCCTCAGAGACTGCTTGCCAGAGCTTAATTTGCAGCTTTGTGGCTGGAAGCTCACGGCCTGGCAATTATCCCAAGGAACTGATAAGGTCTGTACTGCAATTAACTGCTTGAAGGACTATTGCCTGGACTTTTCGGTGAGTGAATGCAATTAATTCACAAGAGGAAAATAAAGAGGGTTTTTTGTGTGACAAGGAGTCTGTTTCTTGTTTCTGCTAAGGCTAGGTCAGAACTTATACTTTTGGTTGCCATCTTGTGTTATTTTATCTTTCCCTGAGGACATGTCTAGTCATTCCAGAAAATGGGCAAGGCAGTAAAATTACCTGGTGTCTCTGCAGTAGGATAGGGATTTTTCTCTTCATTTTCATTCGGCTGATATTCATCTGTGTTGCTCTGGCCAAAAGAGAAAACAGCCGTTCTTTAGTTGTGCCTACTTATTAATTCATAAAAAGAGTCAACAGTCATCTCAAAACAAGGTGGACAGTGGAAACCAGCAAACCTTATTAGAAGCTGGAGATTCTCCATCAGCGGTAATTGATTTCAGCTCGATTTTTTCCTCCTTTGTCTCTCCCTCCATGGCTGGTTTCTCGGGCTCCTGTTTCTTCTCAGGACTGGCAGTCCTACCGATTTAGCAGAAACACACAAAAATCAGCCAATGAATTGCCAAGACTAACTTCCTTGGATAGCCCAATAGACAAGCGCAAGAATATTCACTTAATCTTCATAAACATTTGCTCCTCTGAGAAACAAGTAATATTAATAATCATGTGCCTACCAGACTTTCAAAAAAACCTTTGCATCCTGAGATAATTTAGGAAGTTAATAGAAAGAATGTTCGTCATGCATTTTCCAACCAATGCAGAGGTGATAGTCAGCCAGTTCGGACTGGTCCGGGTGAACGGTAATGGAAATTTTGAGTAGTTCGGAGAACCGGCAAATACCACCTCTGGTTGGCCCTGCCCTCCCGCCTCCATCATTCCCTGTCCTATATTCCCTTGTTTTTTTAGTTCAGCTGATTCGCGCAGCAGAGTGGATTGCCGTGCTTCAGCTGAGCTAAAAAACAGCTCAGCTCATCAGCGCTGACACCGAGGGTGGACTTTGAGTGCTGCACGCTCTCATATAACTGCTAGGAAAAGTTTTGGAATCCCACCACTGAACCAATTCAATGATGGTGAACCAAAATGTCCAAAGTTCAGAAAATGCCTGACTTGTTTCTGCTGGTATGTCACTCACTCACTCACCCCCAAAGATGGACTATTCTCTTTTTTCCCCTCCCCACAAACCTAGGCCATACTGAATAGTGGCACTCAGCAGCAGCAGCGCCGAACAGGGTCTGAAGTTGAGGTCTGGGCCTCAGTCTTAGTGCCACCACTGCCACTCTGTGAGTATTAGGGAATGGTGCAATTTCACCCGTGCCCCAGCCCTCCCCAAGATCTGCCATGCACCATTTAGGAGTATGGCTCTCTTGTGTAATTTCCAGAGGCCATGCAAGAACATGCCCCATTCTTACGCATCCTCCACAGCCTCTAATAATATCACACAAGAATGAGTGTGCTTAAGGAGGAGAATAGCTCTTATGTGTGAGATTTGAGATTTGAGATTTG